CTGATTCTGTAAACTGCTTAGAGGGGGCTGCAAAGCACTGTGAAGCGGTATATAAGTCTAAGGGCTCCTGCTCTTGCTACTCCTCTTTCAGAGACCGGCCCCAGTGCCTTAGCCTAGCTTTGCTTTACAGGCGAATGCATTTGCGCTGCGATGCCAGCTGCTGTTAACGCCAATCCCAGAACGGGCTTCACACTCATGCAGCCAATGCTGCATTTGGCTTGAAGCTTTAACTGCAAAGGGTGAAGAATGAATATGGCCCCAGAAAGCAGCCGTGGGTTCTAAATCAAGAGGATGGAAAGGAAAGGCAGAACAAAAAAAAAAATGAGCCAGGGCTCGAAGGAATGAAAAGCGGGTTGGGGAAGAGGAAAGAGGAGAGGAATGAAAATCAAGAGGGGGGGAAGGCGAAGTCCTCAAATTCAGTACAGGTGGTCCTTGAGCCAAAAGGTGCTCTTTTTTCTCTTTTCTTTTTTTTCCTGGAGGCAACTGGATTTTGTTTTTTCTTTCGAAGACATTTCGCTTCTCATCCAAGAAGCTTCTTCAGCTCTGACTGGATGGTGCAGAGTGGAAGGATTTATATTCCTTGCAGACAGCTGGTCATTTGCATCCTTTGAGAGGGTCGTTGAGGCCACTTGGAGGTTTGCCTGTGTCCTCAGGATCGCCTGAGTTAGTGCTCCTGGTTCCTGTAGTCTGCAGTTTTTTTTTCCTCTGGAAATCCATTCCTACTCCCACACCATTCAAAGGTTGTTTATCCCAAATTCCATAGCTAAAAGTCTGTTGAGATTCTCAGTCATCCAGATCATGGTTATAAAGGTGTTTTTTTTCAGGAGGCAACTGGACTTTCTGGTTTTGTTTTTGAAGACGTTTCGCTTCTCATCCAAGGAGCTTCTTCAGCTCTGACAGATATCCTGAAGAAGAAGCAGAAGAAGCTTCTTGGATGAGAAGCGAAATGACTTCAAAAGAAAAAACAACAAGGAAGTCCAGCTGCCTCCAGGAAAAGCACCTTTGGGACAAACCATGACCTTGGAGGGCTGAGAATCTCTACCGACTTTCAGGTAGTCCTTGGCTTACAACAATTCATTTAGTGACCATCCGAAGTTACAAGGGCGGTGAAAAAAGTTAGACGCGTGACCGCTTTTCACACTTACAACTGTGGCACCATCTCCATGGCCAGTGATCAGTATTCAGAGGCAACTGTTTCGTGTTTACGACGGTCCTGGGGTCATGTGATTTTTTGGGGGTGACTTTCGTACCAGCCAAGTCCCTGGGGAAGCCAGATTCATCTAACAACCGTGTCACTAAGAATGACAGTGCTCCACTTAACAACAGTGGCAAGAAAGGTCATAAACCGGGACACAAATTCACTTCATCGATGCCTCCCTGAGCAGCAGGAAGGTCGGGCTCAATGGCAGTCGTAAGTCGAGGACTGCCTGTATCCTCTTTATGGATGAGCGTGCTTTCTTTCGGCATCTGGCAGACGTATCGCCCGAGTCGTGATATGTTTCCACAATAGGATATGCTGAGCATTAAAGGAACCGGAGATAAAATTAGATCCTTCTAAAGGAATGGCTGTTATCAATCACCCACTCCCCTTTTCTCCTTCACTATAAATTCCTCTTTTAACACACGGACTTTCTTCCCTCCTCTGTCTCTCTCTCTCCAGGATGTATTTGAATGATTAAAAACTGGAACAGAAGGAGAGCAAGATCCGAACACAAGAGCTCAGATCAAGCCATTCTTAGCGCCTTTGTTGATTTTAATGGAATATAAATAATGGATTCTCCACCCCTACAGAGAAAGAGAGAGAGAGAGGGAGAGAACGAGAGAAAGGGGAGAGAGAAAGGGAGAGAGGGAACAAGAGAGAGAACGAGAGAGAGAACAAGCGAGAGAACGAGAGAACCAGAGAGAATGAGAGCGAGAGAGAGGGAGAGAGAGGGAGAGAATGAGAGAGAAGGGGAGAGAGAAAGGGAGAGAGGGAACAAGAGAGAGAATGAGAGAGAGAACAAGAGAGAACGAGAGAACCAGAGAGAAAGAGAGAGGAAGAGGGAGAGAGAGAAAGACAGAGAGAACAAGAGAGAATGAGAGAACCAGAGAGAACGAGAGAGAGAGAGAGAGAGGGAGAGAGAGAGAGAGAGATGGTTATCAGCACTTAGCAGAGCCCTGGTAGTGCAGTGGTTGAAATGCAGAACTTCCTTCCTTCCTTCCTTCCTTCCTTCCTTCCTTCCTTCCTTCCTTCCTTCCTTGGTGTGCAGTGGTTAGAATGCAGTATTGTAGGCTAACACTGCCAACTGCCAGAGGTTCGATCCTGATGGGGCTCAAGGTTGACTCAGCTTTCCTTCCTTCCGAGGTTGGTCAAGAGAGGACCCAAATTGTTTGGGCCAAATATGTTGAACTCTGTAAACCGCTTAGAGAGGGCTGGAAAGCACCGTGAAGCGGTATATAAGTCTAAAGGCTCTTGCTATTGGCACCAATCTTCCATTGTAGACGTATCTCTTGGTGTGCGTTTTGCCTGTGTTCGGAACAAAGGAAGAAAACACTTACGGAAACGTGGCGGCCGTGGCTAGTTTGGTGTAGACGGCGGTGTTGAGGAGTTCCTGGCTGACGCAGGAGAAGTAAAACGGGGGCTGCAAACGGTGTTTGTAGCAGAACTCGGTTGGCGAGACACCGTGCGGAAGGGATGTTTCCGGTAGGTCCGTTTTGGAAGCCACAAAGAGACAAGGGATCTGGCTGTCCAGGTAGTGTTGCTGTGGGAGGCAAGGAAGAACAGGCGGTGGTAGTTATTGACTGCATGGGCCTATCGTACATGTAGTCCTCGAGTTACGACCACAACGGAGTCCAACAGAGCTGTGGGTTGCTGACCCCTGGGTGAGTTGTAGGAGAGGGAATCCAACTTTTAGCAAAGACTTTTTGAAGAACCCCCCCTGGGAAGAGCCGTTGCAGTCAAATTTTCCGTTTTTGATGTTTATTTATTAAGCAATCAATCCTTCAAATATCATCCCCCGTTTTTATTGCAGTTATCGATCAGCACAAAGCAAATCACAAAGCTGAGATTAACTATGGATGGAAAAGCTAGACAGGGAGGATTAAAAGAAATTAAAGGGATGCATCCAGGGAATATTAACTAAGAAAAGAGTAATAGGACTAGAAATTGTTAAGACAAAGGAGTCGGGATAATATAAGGATTATTTTCGAGAGCCAAATTAAAAAGTTAGGGTAGGTGCCACCAAACAACAGCAGTGAAAACAGGAGATTCAGATTGTGGCTTCAGTTAGGAAGAAGCCTCAGACAATAACCAAGTTTCCTAAAACATTTCTCTTTGCTTTACTTCTTTTATACATGGAAACTCTGGGTTAATTTCTTTTTTCCCCAAATTAAATTTGCAGGCAGCAGTTAAGAAAGCTCTACAGATGGGATGGAGAGGAGAAAGGAGGAAAAAGGATGAACTTTCAAAGATAGCTGTCTCTCTCTTCTCTCTCTCTCTTTCTTTCTCTCTCATCTTTCTCTCTTTATCTCTTTCCTCTCTCCTCTCTTCTATTATCTGTCTTTCTCTCTCGCTATTATCTTATCTATCTATCTATCTATCTATCTATCTATCTATCTATCTATCTATCTATCTACAAACAAGCTCTATCTATATCTACAATCTATTATCTTTAATATCCACCTATCGATTTTCTCTAATCCGTCCGTCCGTCCATCCATCCATCTACCCACCCACCCACCTACCTAGCTATCATATTTAAGAACTGCCAATCATCCTCAGGACAGACTCTGAGTGATGTACAATAAAAAACTAGGAGCATAAAAACATTTCAGAAAATTTAAAAGAGACAAGAAAACTTAAAATTAATTACATTTTAGCATCAAACTTTGGAGACCTACTGCTTCTGAAGCCAGCCAAGTAGAAAAAGCTCACCTTATAAATATTAGCACAGTAATTAAAAGACTTGAGGTCTGTCACGTCATACAAGAAGCAGGCAACATCACACGTTGCGTCAAAGGTCTTTGCAAATTCCACATCGGCCTCAATCTCATGCAGCTGTAGAGAAATGCAGAAGAGATTCATATTCTTTCTGAACTAAATGCCCATCAGGGATTTTTTTAAAAAATGAATTAATAGATCACACTTACAATTAAATGCTTTTCCTGTCCATTGACCAGCACAGTATTGATTGAATAGGATGATTTGTTTTCTTCAGATTCACTTTGGACCTGAAACAGGGAGGGAGGGAAGAAGGAAGGATGTTTTGAGGTGAAAGAAATATTGATTTGGGGGTAAAAGAAAGAAGGAAGATTGATTTTGAGGTAAAAGGAAGGGAGGAGGAAGATTGATTTTGATGAGGAAGGAAAGTTGATTTTTATGTAAAAGAAAGAAGATTGATTTTGATGTAAAAGGAAGGGAGGGAGCAAGGAAGGAAAAAAAGGAAGGAAATTGATGACTGCTTATTGCTTCCAACCTGACACTGTCTCGATACTTGGGAATGCCATTTCAACAATCATGAAAATTGAAAATCCTTGGACTTTTCGTTTTAGTAGTCCAGAAACACCCCACCCTTTCATATTTAGCAGAAGAAGGGATAAGCTGCATTCTGGAAGCCTAGAATGATCTAAAGAAAAGTGGGCTTCAAACTTAAACATCCTAAGACATCGCTGCCCCTCAAATTCCAAAGACTGGCATGTGGAAAAAGCCAGTGTGGCATGGCTGTGGTTGAGGCAATGGGCTAGGAATATGAAGGACCAGGTTCACATCCACCTGCCATCTAGCAAGCTAGGGTGGCAGGAATGTGGTATAAGAGGATGTGGTATAAGGTGATGCAGTGGCTAGAGTGTAGTACTGCAGGCTGTTTCTGCTGCCTGCTGGCTGCCTGCAATTTGGCAGTTTGAATCCCACCAGGCTCAAGGTTGACTCGGCCTTCCATCCTTCCGAGGCGGATAAAATGAGGACCCAGATTGTTGGGGGAAAGGGGCTGACTCTGTAAAACACTTAGAGAGGGCTGGAAAGCACCATGAAGCAGTATATAAGTCTAGTCCTCTTGCTAATACTGTAGTTGATTGGATGTTGCATTAGGAGCCCTGGTGGCGCAGTGGTTAGAATGTGGTATTGCAGGCTGACCACAGTCTGGAGTTCAATCCTGACTGATTCAAGGTTGACTCAGCCTTCCATCCTTCCGAGGTGGGTAAAATGAGGACCCAGATTGTTGGGGGAAAGATGCTGACTCTGTAAACCACTTAGAAAAAGCACTATGAAGTGGTATATAAGTCCAAGCGCTATTGCTCTTCCTTTTCCCTATCCATCCATCCATCCTCCATCCTTCCACAGTGTGCAGTGGTTAGATTATGGTATTGCAGGTTGACTCTGCCCACAGTCTGGAGTTCAATCCTGACTGGCTCAAGACTGATTCAGCCTGCCATCTTTCTGAGTCCGGTAAAATGAGGACCCAGATCGCTGGGGGCAACAGGCTGACTCTAAACTGCTGAGAGAGGGCTGTAAAACACCGTGAAGCGCTATATAAGTCTAAGGGATATTGCCATATCATCCACCAGAAATAGCTAGGTCAGTGTTTCTCAACCTGGACAACTTTTAAGATGTGTGGACTTCAACTCCCAGAATCCCCCCAGCCCAGCCACGAAACCCTGACTTACAGCCTCTTGAGATCAACCATCAAGGTTCACCTTGATTCTGTACTCATCTGAACTGAAATGTATGCTTCGTTTTGATCTAAACGGGAGATTAAATTCACCCAGGACTTACCACCGCATTCTTCCCTAGAAAGGCCTGCAGGAAAGCAGACTTGCCAGATCCCTGAGACCCAATCACTTTGCACAGGAAGACATTCCGGTGAGTCTGGCCTTTCTCCAAGTCAATCTTTTTTTCCCGGGTGACTGGAACAAAAGGGAGAGAGGTGGATGAGGAAGGATGCTGAAGGAAGAGGCCTTCCCTTCCTGCGTCCCTAACGCCTTGGCGCCTTTGTCAGTGTTCCAACCAACCAACTCCAAACCAATAAACCTCCGAGACAAGCATTTCTTCAAAGGTTTTATTGGTACATCTGGGAAAACCCGAATCTGAGAGTTCTGGGTTTTCCCTTCCCAAAAGATAATCAAAGTTCCATCCCCTGCGTCCATCAGTCCATCACATCAAACCTTTGTCCCCACTGGAGACATCCCTCCCTTCCAGGTCAATTCCCCTCCAGGTGCAGGGCAACATGTCCTTGACTCTCTGAGAAAGAATGTTGTTGTGTCTAATCTTCTACCTCTCTGTGAAATCCCCCCTCCCAAATTCCAAGGCAGTTAAATGTGGCAGCCTCAAAGCTTCTAAGTAAAATATGGCTTCCAAGGCTGACAAACATATTCCAATGCAATACAGGTAGTCCTTGACTTACAACAGTTCCTTTAGTCACCGTTCAAAGTTCAAGGTTGACGCAGCCTTCCGTCCTTCCAAGGTGGGGAAAATGTGGACCCAGATTGTTGGGGCAAGAGGCTGACTCTTTAAACCAGTGGTCCCCAACCTTTTTTATGCCGTGGCCCGGTACCGGCATCAGCTGGGCGCCGCCATCTTGTTTTGATGA